AAATATATAAATTGATTATGTGTGCACTTCCACAAACTTTAAAGTTTTATATGTGAATGTGGGCATTTTATGTATCCTTCATTCATTTTAATTTGTTCCAGATTTCCAATACATTCCAATATATTCAGATCTACTGGGGTCTAGATTCACTTCATATTCTTATAGCATTACATGAATAGATGCACCAAGGTCTGATGAGCCTAGAGAACCCTCTTTGGACTCCCTGGTAACACAGTGCTATTTTTGCCCTCCTCAGTTAAATGGGACACTTAACGAAGAGTAAAAAAAAGGACAAGTAATGAAGTGTGCAAACCTTAATTTTTCCTTTTTGAAGATCATCCTATGCATGATAAAACAATCAAAATCTCCAGTAGCAATAAAAAGGGAAGAACAGTTTGTACAAAAACCAGTAGAACATTTATCCCCACATGGATATCTTTAATTATGATTATTTAAAAAAAAACAAAAAAAAAAACTTCTTTACTCAGCAGTCAAAAGGTACAGTCAAACATTTTACACTCGTTATACGGTTACCTGCTATTTTCAGTCAATTTTATGAGCCCAACGGCAAGACTGTTTACACCAAAATTCAAATCATCAAATCTGCAGCCAAAGAACACTACAGGGACAACCGGTCCTTTAGCAAGACAGAGCCAAAGGGGTAATTATACATAAACACTAAACCCTGTGGCCCTGTCATTTACTTGACTTGATCTGGCAATAAATAGATTCAACATCCCACCAAAGACCAGCTGCTACCAACACTTTAGAGACATCTTCACATTTGTGACCCTGTACCACAAAACCAATCATAAGGGTCAATTTCTCGAAATTGAGATTTATACATAATCTGAAAGCTGAGTAAATAAGCTTTCCATTGATGTATGGTTTGTTCGAATAGGACAATATTTTGCCGAGATACAACTATTTGAAAATCTGTAATCTGAGGGTGCAGAAAAATCAAAATATTGAGAAAATCGCCTTTAAAGTTGTCCAAATGAAGTTCTTAGCAATGCATATTACTAATACAAAAATTAAGTTTTGATATATTTATGGTCGGAAATTTACAAAATATCTTCATGGAGCATGATCTTTACTTAATATCCTAATGATTTTTGGCATAAAAGAAAAATCGATAATTTTGACCCATACAATGTTTTTTTGGCTATGGCTAAAAATATACCCCAGTGACTTAAGACTGGTTTTGTGGTCCAGGGTCACATTTTCTAGCGAACACTATCCGGCCTTCCTTTAATTTCTCTGCAAAGCAGATGCAACAAATATTGGCATAGTGCTACGGTAATCACATCATGAGCGGCAGCGGCCTACAGTGCATTATTACACAGTTTGAGTCAAAGTGCTGCTTAATCATGCCATTAAAAAACATTTCAGACTACAGCTCTTAAAGGAATCCAAACAAGGACGGAGACAAAGAGTGGAGAAGAAAAGAAGGAGCTAAAAGGTTGTAAAATTGAAGAGTGACACTTCACCCTGACCTCTCATGGTCTTGTTAAAGGGGTCATATGATGTTGCTAAAAATAACATTATTTTGTGTATTTGGTGTAATGAAATGTGTTTATGCGGTTTAAGGTTAAAAAAACACATTATTTTCCACATACTGTACATTATTGTTTCTCCTCTATGCCCCGCCTTTCTGAAACGCGTCGATTTTTACAAAGCTCAGTGGTCTGAAAAGCGAGGTGTGCTGTGATTGGCCAGCTATCCAGTGCATTATGATTGGCCGAATACCTCAAGCGTGTGACGGAAATGTTATGCCCCTACCATACTGTGATGATGCCCTGTCAGGCCGGAGCGATGATTCAAAAACATGAAAACCCATTATAAATGAGGCATTCGTTGCAGTGGGGACATAATTATAGATTATAATGACTTGTACTGTCTTTTTACGCGTTGCGTTGCATCGCACCTTGTAAACATAAA